GACTAGCGGTCCGGTCCGGCCGGGGATAACTGGGGCGCTGAGGGATGGACATCACCCTCACTGCCCAACTTGGGGACCTTTGGGGCAACTTCCCCGGTGCCAGCGCCTCCCTCGGTTCCCCGACTGGAGCTGCAGCGCCGACCCGAGGGATCGTAGGGGTAGGGGAGAGCGACAGTCGGAGTTCTGAGCGCGGCCCTGCCCAGCGCAACCCTGCGGGTGCACAGGACGCAGCCCCACCAGTATTCGGCCAACCGGGCGCGCCCTCGGGTTGGGCGAAACGCTTGAGTTCCATGCCTGGTATGAAAAACAAAGAAACAAACAAACACACACACATACAGAGAACAGGAACTGTGCTATGTGCAGAGTAGTCCAGTTTCACTTCAAGAGCTTTTCACGGTCAGCTAAGCTGATTCACGACTTACACACTGGCCACTGCATGCTTAAACAGCAGTCTGGACAATGCCAGGGTTTATAGCTTGGAACTGGCTATAGCTGAATGAGAATATTCAGCACCAAACAGGGACTTTGTGAAGAGCGGGTTTAGAAGATGAAGATGAAAAGCAAGATGGAGGAGCAGCAAGGCAGAGCTCGGTCTGAGAGAGGGGATGAGGGGGGTCCTGGGTGTTCCCGGAGAGTCACACCTGCTGTGGACCCTTCCTTGGGCCGGGCGTGCTGCTTGTTCCTGACCGGGACATGGGGCCCTGGTCCTGGAAATGCTTCCCAGATGCTGGAGCTCCATGGAAGGGAACTGACCCAACAGGCTCCCAGTGTCTGCTGGTCTTCAAGAATCAGGACCGCTGCAGGTGTGTGGTGGGTGCCCACATGCTACCAGCCTGGAGGCAGAGGGACACGCGGTTCCCATGGCCCGTCCCTGTCTTGTTGCCCCTAGGGACCTGGTATCACCCCTATCGCAGACCACACTGTGGGGGACCTGGGCCCTGACCTGGCCCTAACTCTTTCTTGCCATGTCCCTAGACAGCAGGATCTGCCCTGCAGGAAGGAGGCTCAGAAAGATCTCACTTCTAGGAAGTGTTCTCCAGCACTCTAGTTGGAGTGGCCGGAAGATGGGTGTCAGGCTGGCAGGGTCTGGATCCTGGCTGAGGCACATCTGACTGCGTGAGCAAATGGTCTTACCTCTGGATTACCATGGTCTTACCTCTGGATTGCCTGTAGTGGGGGTGTGGGGGTCAGGCATGGTGCTGCCCATGTGTAATCCCAGACTTAGGAGGCTGAGGCAGGGAAATTGCTTCGAGCTCAAGGCTAGCCTTGCACCCTGTCTCAAAAAAAAGAAAACAAAAACAATTAAATAAAACAGGCATGGCAGGAGAATACACACAATGTGTTGCGAGAGACAAGAATGAGGAGTGGGCCTGTTCACAAGAATGTGGTTCCTCCATCTCCCTGCCCTGCATCAGGGCTGCCTTGGGCCAGACCAGGGGAGGAACTGGCATTGGGCATTGTTGTGCTGGGGCAGCCCGTGGTGCCTTCCTGCCATCCTGCACCACTATGGACACAGGACCAGGTGGGCTGGCCTGGGCCAAGTCTTGGAGGTAGGCGGAACTGGCTTGGGCATCCGAGGGAAGGCCTCCCATGCTGATACGGCCAGGACAAGTAGCAGTGATGCCTGTCACCAGGTGTATGCTGGTCTGGTTTCACCTTGGAGTGACCAGGGTCTGCAGCCTCTGCCCACCATCAACCCTTGCAGGCTGCCAGGTACACAAAAGGCTGGCACAGCCCTGTGGCACCTCTCCTTGAGAGGCCATGATGTCCTGGGTCCCAGTCTGGGTGAATGTGTGTCCACCTGAGGCCTGAGCTCCCTCACCTCCCAAGTTTAGGGTCTCGGCCCTTGGCAAGCATTTACCAATCACCTACTGTGTCCAGACCGAATCCTTCTCTGGGTTGGGGCACAAAGTGAGGGTCCTGGAGTGTCCCAGGGAAGTGGGCAAGCCAAAAGAATGCCAGACAAGATGAGCAGGGGCTGCCTCCCACCTGGCTGCAGAGCATCCCCATCCCTGCCCAAGGGTGGGGGGCCAAGGCCAGAGCGGCTTTTCCATTCTCAGCTCTCATCCTGGGGGACCCTAAGACTGTACCTTGTGTGGGTGTCTGTGAGTGGGAGGCCCAGAGAGGGAACCAGTGAAATGAAACAGGACAAGAAGGGCAGAGTACCTGTCATCAGAGCAGCAAGGCCTCCCCTGGCCTTGTCCCCGTGCCACCCGCTAAGCTCAGGTCCGGCCAGGGGCTGCCAGGCTGGGAGAGGAAGGAGGGAAGGAGGGGCCTGCCACCCAGCCCTCCACAGGATGGGGCACCTTCCCCAGCATGTGCCCTACCAGTGGTCTGTGTCCTCAGCTCACATGGGAAGGCACTGGCAGCCCCCGTGGGGGTCAAGCTCTGGGCTCCAGGCTGTGTCCTGGCTCATGCTGCCCAGGCCACCCATGGCATGATTCTGACTTTAGAAACTTGGGGTCTGTCCACCTAGCTCCCTTCTGACAAGTGTGACGGTCACCTTACAGAGAAGGACACAGGAACCTTCTGCAAGCCACATACACAAGCAGTACTGGAGCTTTAGCCCCAGCCTATATCTGTGCCAGGCCCATGCAGGGGAAGGCCAGCTGGGGTCTGACAGGACAAAAAGCAAGCTGCACCCTCCCAGGTGGTGGAGCATGAGTGGAAAATCTGGAAAGGGAAAGGGAGGTGTGGGAATTTCATCCTCCCCTAAATGAGGTGACAAAACTGAAGGCAAAAATCCCTGTGGTGTCCCGTGGAGAGGCCTGGCGTGCACTTCTCAAGGATTTTGTAATATCTGATGGTGAACGGCTTTGTTGTGGAGCAGGGCCAGGGCACATGTGAGGCAGAAGTATTCCTTTGGCTGGGCCCACCTTGCAGTCCATTGGTTTGGGAGACGGAGGCAGGAGGATCACAAGTTCAAGCCCAGCCTGAGCAACTCAGTGAGACGCTGTTTCGAAGTAAAAAATAAAAAGGGCTAGAGATGGAGCTCAGGGATAGAGTGGCCCGAGGTTTAATCCTCACTGCAGGGAGGAAAAAGCACAACAGTATCTCTCTGGGCCTGGCCCTGCCCAGCCTGGGTCAGGAGCGGGCACCCTGAGTAGATTACCTGAGCACTGAGGTCATGCTCAGGGGCCCCAGAGGAAGCCATCCACAGCAGGACCAGGCAGGCAGTGGCCCAGAGTTCTGGTGCTAGATTTGGAGGGGACTCACTGAAGTGCTCCTGCCCTCCTCCTCAGCTGCCTGGGGTCCCTGGTGTCCCTGAGCCGCCAACTCCAAAGGCTGCTGCTCCGTGACGAGGCGTGGCCCTGGGAGGATGCCTTGGCCACCTGCCCACACCCTTCTGCACCATGGGTGATGAACGGCGGCTGCCTGGCAGTGCTGTGGGCTGGCTGGCATGCGGAGGTCTCTCTCTGCTGGCCAACGCCTGGGGCATACTCAGTGTGGGTGCCAAGCAGAAGAAGTGGAAGCCTCTGGAGTTCCTGTTGTGCACGCTCGCAGCCACCCACATGCTCAACGTGGCGGTGCCCATTGCCACCTACGCCGTGGTGCAGCTGTGGCGGCAGCGTCCCGACTACGAGTGGAATGAGGGCCTCTGCAAGGTCTTCGTGTCCACCTTCTACACCCTCACCCTGGCCACCTGCTTCTCCGTCACCTCCCTCTCCTACCACCGCATGTGGATGGTCCGCTGGCCCGTCAACTACCGGTGAGTGCGCATGGGCGGCATGACCGGAAGTCCTACCTGGTGCGCCTGTGTGCACACCTGAGGGCCCATGTGGCTATGCTGTGCCTGTGCTGTGTAGGGGTGGGCAGGGAGGCTCAGGAGGGGTGGTGCCAGGCTGCTGCACAGAGCAGTGCGAATACACACGCGTGTCCAGGGCAGAAGTGCCCGTATCAGGTATGGTGGGGCACACCTGTAATCCCAGCACTCGGGGAGACTGGGGCAGGAGGGTTACTGTGAGTCTGAGAACAGCCTGCACTGCATAGTCAGTTCAGGGCCATCCTGAACCACAATGTGAGACCCTGCCTCAGCCACCCCTCTGTGAAGGGTGCCTGGTGGAAGGGCCACGAGACAGTGCATTGACGTCTCTTCTCTGCCCCACTGGTCTTGCCAGGACTGTGGTGTGGGGGTGAGCAGGCAGGATCCTCTGCAGCTGTGCAGAGGCCTAGGCAGACAGTGTAGGTGACCCAGGTTCCTCTGTCTCACCCTGCCCCGTGCCAGGCTGAGCAATGCCAAGAAGCAGGCGGTGCACACAGTCATGGGCGTCTGGATGGTGTCCTTCATCCTGTCGGCCCTGCCTGCAGTCGGCTGGCACGACACCAGCGAGCGCTTCTACACCCACGGCTGCCGCTTCATTGTGGCTGAGATCGGTCTGGGCTTCGGTGTCTGCTTCTTGCTGCTGGTGGGCGGCAGCCTGGCCATGGGCGCGGTGTGCACAGCCATCGCCCTCTTCCAGACGCTGGCTGTGCAGGTGGGGCGCCGGGCTGACCCGCGCACCTTCACTGTGCCCACCATCGTCGTGGAGGACACACAGGGCAAGCGCCGCTCCTCCATCGATGGCTCAGAGTCAGCGAAGACCTCTCTGCAGGTCACAGGCCTGGTGGCCACCATCGTGGTCATCTATGACTGCTTCATGGGCTTCCCTGTGCTGGTGCGTGAGGGGTCCAGTGCAGACCTGGGGGAGGGCCCTGGGGCACCTGGGGGCTGGGCATTTAGTGGGTCAGCACCTCAGATCCTGTCCCTGGAGATGCACAGCATCACCCCTCACTGCAGCGGAAATTCTACACCACTGGAGAGTGAGGATCAGGGAGGTCTGTGACCTCCCTAAAGCAGGGCCACCCACGTAGTCACCTGCTTGTCACTGAGACACAGTACCCAACACCTGTATCTTAAGGAAGGAGGAGTTTATTTAGCTCAGTTGTGGAGGTTTCAGTCCATACTCTGGTGGCTCCAAGGCAGGGCTGCACAGCAGAGGGGTGTGGTGGAGCAAAAGCTGCTGGTAGCATGGCTGAGACAGGAAGCAAGTGAGGGGAACAGCTGAGAAGGAAGCCGGACCCTCGCAGGCCATACCCACCATGACTTCTCCTACCAGCCAGCCAGCCACCTTCAGAGAACCCTGCCTAGATGCGCGTGAGGCTTTGGGGACCTCTAGATAGAAGCCAGAGCAGCAGGTATGGTGGGAGTCGGGCCCACACCCAACCGTCTTTCTGCTGTCTGCTGAGGCACTTCCTTCACCCAGGCCCTTTGATGCCGGAGTGTGGGAGACAGGGCCATGTGTCCCAGGAAGTACAGGTGGCCGGGAGGGTGCTGCACAGGGACAGGGGATGTCCTCTGGGAGGAGTTTCTTAGTCTTAAGAGCTGGGGACATCAAGGTCCAGTGGGACTGGCCAGGGTCCTCCATGTATCAGGCACGGCTGGCCCCAGAATGAAGTCTGGACTCAGTGTCAAACCGTGGCCAGGCCCAACTCCAGAGCATTTGTCCAAGCAGTAGGGAAGATTGGGGAGGGGACTGCCAGGGTGGCAGCTTCACAGCTGGGGCACCTTGGACCCCCAACTACAGGGTCCTCTCATGTACAGCTGGGCCTGTCATCCCGTCCTGTTGTGGACAGAAAGAGTTGGTGCTACCCCACCTTCTCTCCTGAGCAGGAAATGTGGTGCCCTGGCCGAGCCTGCCATGTCTCTGGCCTGTTATACACAGTACCTGGAATCTTCACTTCACCCATAGGCTGCCAGGCTAGACCCTCCGAGGAGGGCAGGGGTGAAGCCCCTGGCCAAGGAAGAGCTGGTTGTTGACCTGTGTGGGCCTGATTCCAGGTTCTGCATGCCTGTCTTCCCCCCACTTCTCTCCAGGGGGAATCACAAGGGCAACAGGGTGGGAAGCGGACAGGGAAGAACTCTGCACACATGGGCACAGCTGGGCAGCGCTCGATAGAGAGGGACTCATCTCTGCATACCAGCCTGCCAAGGGCCTAGCGCTCTGTCCTTGGCTGCCGCCTGCTCTGCCTGGTGGGTTGAGGACATGCTATGCAGGCAGGCATCTGAGGCCAGGAGGGATGCAGGTGGGAGAGTCCTGCCAGTCAGGCTGTGCTCTGTGCCCACAGGTGGTGAGCTTCAGCAGCCTGCGGGCTGATGCCTCTGCACCCTGGATGGTGCTGTGTGTGCTCTGGTGCTCTGTGACCCAGGCCCTACTGCTGCCTGTGCTCCTCTGGGCCTGTGACCGCTACCGGGCCGACCTCAAGGCTGTCTGGGAGAAATGCATGGCCCTCATGGCCAATGATGAGGACTTGGAAGAGGGTGAGGATGGCCTGAGGCTGGCCCCTGGGGATAGTGGCATCTGGATGAGGTCAGGGACCCCCCCCATGGTAGTTGGGTGACCCCATTCTTGATGGACAGACACTCCCCATATCTTTTCAATGCTAGGTGTCCTATGGGCATCCTCTTACCCTGCCTGGCTGCCCTAGAGTCCAGCTGATCCAGTGTCTGTTAACAGAGTGGCTGTGGGCATCAGACTGATGGGGTAGTCTCACCTTGACTCCTGACCTTGGAAGGCCGCTGGGCAAAGTCTGCTATGTGCCAGCCACTGTGAGCCCCTGGCCGTACATTCAGTCCCATGAAGCTTGTGAGGTAGCCTCAGGTCCACACCATATCCTAGCTGCAGAAAGTACCTTCCAGACTTGGCAGCATGGTGGCACATGCCTGTAATCCCAGCCCTCAGGAGGCTGAGACAGGGCTACATAGAGTTCAAGGCCAGCCTGTCTACATAGCAACACCCAGACCCAGGTCACCCTTTTCAGCTAACCAGCCTTTGTCCTTATGTGTATCTGTGGTGAGTCCCCAGGATTCCTTCCCAGCTGCCCCTAAGTTCCCATGGCCCCACACCTCTGTCCCACCCTACAGAGGCTAGCCTGGAGGGCAGCATCCCCCCAGACCTGGTGCTGGAGCACTCGTTGGACTACAGCTATGGAGGTGACTTTATGGCCCTGGACAAGATGACCAAATATGAACTCTCTGCCCTGGAGGGGGGCCTGCCCCATCTCTACCCATTACGGCCCCTGCAGGAGGACAAGATGCAGTACTTGCAGGTAGGGATGGGGCAGGTGTGGCCATGCATGGGGTTGGTGGCCCCCTGGCAGTTTTGGGGGATGGCTGCCATCCTCTGGGTTGCTGGATGTCACAGGTGGGCTGGGCAAGGTGGGTCACCAAACCTCTACCTCATGTTTCTTGGGCCCTTGGTGTCCACCCACTGTCTGTAGTTTTCTTCTGCCTTTATAGGCCAAGAAACTTTCTTCCCAAAACCCACCCGTTTCAAACAACAGAGCATCCAAAACAGTGTTTAGACAGCTTTTCCATCCTTAACACCCACAATTTAAAGGAAAAGAGGTTTGATCTGGCTCACAGTTTCAAAGGTTCAGTCCATGGTCTGCCAGCTCCAAGGCAGGAGCATCATGGTAGACCAGAGGTATTCAGTTTGTGGTGCCCAGGAAGCAGGCCAGAGGAAGTGTCCAGAAGAAGGGGCTGTGGACCAGATATGGTGGCCACGGTCATGCCTGCATATAGCACACCCAGAAGTGTGCTTTACTGATCCACGCCCATTTGTCTTTATTTTTCATTTTCTTTTTTGGTACTGGGGATCGAACTCGGGTCCTTCTGCTTGCGAGGCAGGCGGTGGAACCACTGAGCTCTGTCCCCAGCACCACCGCCGCCATCCATTTCTTAAATTGACCCCGGCAAGGTTAACCCTGATGTTGGTTGTCACCTACCCCACGTCTCACAGCTCCGAGCAGGCTGTGCTGGCCTCCGACCCGCAGACCGGCCTGGCCTCGCTGCAGCACAGCCCCGGCTAAAGCCCGCCACGTCCTCGCAGGTCCCGCCCACGCGGCGC